CCCGTTTATGTGCTTTTATGTGGTTGTATATATTTTTCCTTTTATTTCTTTTCGAAATTTTCCAAAATTTGTTTAAGGTTGTGTTGGTGCTGCGATGGTGATTGTATATGGTGAGCTTGCTCCAGTTAAAAACAATCCGTTTGTTTCTTGGCGGGATAACCTCGATCACGCGTGATCTATTTTGCGGTTTTAGTTAGAACATAAGAAAAACGATACTGTCGGTAATGTGTGCACCCAAATGCAAGACATTACGATTTATCTCAGGCTACTATTGTAGAAAGTCGTAACTGATAGATCTTGGACGGAACGCTTTGAAATGTTTAGAAAAATAGGGCGCATGCTTGATTCGGTTTGGGATACATTATTGCGAGTCACGTCGGTCTTAGCTTGTTATGAAATACTAAACAATGTGTAAAGAGCAAATCGAAACATTTTTTTTTCTTGGATTTGTTTTCTGTCGATCTTGTTTTCCGTACTGAGTACCAATGCTACCGATGAAGAGTGTTGCTTTTTGCCGTTTTCGTGCGCCTTTTAATAGCTTCTCATCAATGTTTGAGAAGGGTATAGTTTGTTATTTTAAGCAACTTTTTTTTAAATTTTTTTTAGAAGGAACAACCAGAGACATAGGAATTGATTGCGTACGCTTCGATAACGTGCTTGTGAATATTTTGAAATTTCACCGTTGGCATGTCCTTCAATTAAAATCGAGAAGAGACCAAGTTTATCACATTAAAAACATTAAACACCAAAACATTATTATTAGCATATAAATTTAACAAAGGAATACACTTCTTTGCATTCCGGTTCTTGAAATAATCACATACGCATACCTGAAGTGGATGATTCCGCCATTTTTTAACGGTTTGCAGCAGTTCACCTCTTCCGTTTCTACTATTATTGAATTTGACAGCTTACTATCAATAAAACGCATAAATTTGTTTACTCAAGATAAAGTTAAATTTAATACTCCTTCAAATCATTGTTTTAGGTATTATATAACTTTTTTCCTAGATTTTCGATATTTTTAACATATTGTAAAAAGTTGTTTGTCGTACAACATTGTAACATGCTATCTCTTAAAATTAAAATATGCATTCAAAAATTAGACATTTTCAGGAGTTTTTTAGTTATTAAAAAACCCCTAAAAGAGCGCGTGCTGCCACATGTTTTTATAACTTTTCGGCAGCAAAATAAGTATAGATTCAGAATCCTTCCTAGAATGTTGCGCCAATTTGCGCCGGAAATAGTTATTTGAGGAACAAATACCCCTAAAAATAACGGTTATTTAAGAATAACTTTTTTGTTTCAAGAGATAATTAGTTACAGTTCAGCAAAAGCATGTGTTTAAACATGCAAAATATAGTTGTAGAAGAAACCAAAATTGTAGGATGACTAGAAAATCAGTTATACTAACAAACATGATTTAAAGGGGCCTTTCAAGAAAAATGATACATATCTCGCAATTTATAAGAGCTAGAAATTTTGGGTGTTCAGCAAAGTTGCTTAAAATAACATTTGCTACAACTTTATTCAAGATGCTAGGTCTCTATTTGAATCATATAAAAAAATATTTTTTTGATCTCACTTTTAGGTAGATTAATCACCAAACCGTCTACATCAAAAGAAGCGGATTAACATATGCAAAAACATCTTTAAGCAAACTATACCCCTAAAATCAATGTTTGAGAAGCTATTAAAAAAGCGCACGAAAACGGCAAAAAGCAACACTGTGCGATGCCAGGGAGGCAGCTCCCACACCTGGACCCTACCTATCGACCCATCAACACATAGACCGGGGACTAACGGCTTTACTTCCCTTTCGAAGGAAGACGTGATCAGAGATTTTGTTTCTCAGAAAATCCCGGCGGCGCGGACTGGGATTGAACCCAGGCCGTTTGAAGTGCGAGGCAATCACGCTTACCACCACATTACCAGCGCCGCTTAATCGAAACATTGAACGTCGCGTGAAAGTGGAACTTAATGAACGCTTTTTCGTAGGTTTTACTTTTCGGATTTGAAAGATCGTCGGTTGCAGTGGCTTGTTTACTGAGGAGAAAAACGCGGTCCCAGGCAGGCATGGAAAATCATTTGCATTTATTTCATACATTCATTTACATTCATTTGCCTCTAACTTTTTCCATCAACAGCATTCCGCAAAATGATGTATAGAGCTTTTTTAGGTTTTGTGATTAGCTACAACTTTTGCTTATAACTCAAATCTGTATATCTTATGCATCACGAACTAGAGCGAGCAGAACTTGTTACTGTTTTTCAGTGAATGTAAAATACATTCACTGAAAAACAATAGTGGCTTCTGTTCGCTCTGGTTCGTCATGCATAAGAGAAACGGATTTGACTTGTTAACAAAAGTTGTAGCTCATAACAAAACCTACAAAAGCTCTATACATCATTTTGCGGAATGCTGTTGAAGAAAAAAGTTAGAGGCATATGAATGTAAATGAATGCACGAAATGAATGCAACTGATTTTCCATGCCTGGTCCCAGGTCCTTTCATATTAAAGAGATTTGTGATAAAATCGTTTGTTTATCGTGTAAAAAGGACGTAGTTTGCCTACTGGAAAACGTGTTTGGCTACTGAACAGAAGACCGTAGGGTCAATCCCAAGCTCTTTCGCGTTATATGATCGTTAGGACATCAATTCAGCTTATCGTTTACCAAAACGAACCCTGCTCCAAACCCAACCCTCACGGGAAAAAATCCGATCTCCGAAATGAGAAAAATGACTCATGATACCATGAACAAAGCGTATTTTAATGTTATGAAAATACACCATGAATAATATTCATGATATCATGAGCAACTTTTGCGTAACGCAGCAATTATTCCCAAAATCATGAATTCAATTGAGTTGAAATCATGATCTAAATTCATGGGTTTAACTTTTTTAAATAAAGCAAGAGACTGGATTCGAACCAAGAACCTTGTACTTGTATAAGATGGTAGACAAAAGAGTATAAAAGATACCTATGTAGTGCGGTTTATGAACACGGTTTGCCAAGTACGTGTAACGCTTGTAGCGGTCTTGATTCCACTGCATTATGAAAGCATGAATTTCCATGACGAAATCATGAATCATTGTTACGATTTCATGGGATGGCAAGTTATTTACATTTCATGATTTTTTATTCATGAAAATGGAATCGGATTTGTTTCCGTGCTCTTACCAAACATCCCAGTGATTCCTCGTGGAAGTGCAGAGGAATTATCGGCTTCTATTAAAGCTAGTGTCACATCAACACATTCCTACCCATTCCTTTCTTGACCAGCGTTCGGACGCGGCCGGCGCTGGTATTGCCTTGCCTCTTGTAAAATTTAAGATCACCAATGTGTATCAGCGGAATCCTATACCCCGTCTAATTGAACGTGCATTATGCTAGGGTAAGATTAACTGAAATTAGAAATAAATTTCATGGTTTTATTTGCGTAAATATATGGCAACAGCTATGTTTTAATCTTTCATCGAAATAAATTCGGTTAAGAATGGATTTTTTTTAAAGGAGACTACTAAGGCCAAAAACTGGCACACGATCAGATAACACAGTAGTCCTAAGCATGATCGATCGGTTCTCTGTATCAATAACGCAGTAGCAACCGCAGGCGATCAATCATGTCTAGATAGAGCTGGAATTGAGGCGTAACAGCTTTTGTAAGCAATGGCTTCTCTCGATGATTTCTAAAAAGTCAAGGCTTGTCCACACAAATCAACATCATCATCGGACAGAGGAAGACTTCTCCTACCCGATGGTTATGTTGGACTGCGTGGGCGTGCCTTTAATTCCTAGAAATCATCGAAAGAATTCATTGTTAACAAAAGTTGTTACGCCCTAAATCCAGCTCTATCTAGATGTTCAGGCTCATGCTCAATTGTGGTCAGAAGTCCCTTGGAATTGCCATTTGAATTCTTCTCAAAGTTCCTCTGAATTTACTCAATATTTCATTCGGAATACTCTTGGGCTTCTGCTTAAAATCCCAATGACATTCTCTTCATAATTGCCATGTACATTTACTCATAATACCCTTGGAATTCACCAGAGAATTAATTTGAAATACTTCTCTCTAAGTTATTTGACTATCCTCAAAATTAGCTTGAAGCTCTACATTAAATAGCTTGAGAATACTTTCCAGAATTTCTTTAGAGTTCTCTGCAGAATGCCCTTGGAATTACACCCACGTGTCGTGGAAAATTTGTGAATGTCATATTTGAATCCCCCCTTAAGCAAACTTTTTTATTTTGCCTCTTTGGCTTGTCGTCCCTCACTAGGCGGTGGTAACAAGCAACTTATAAGGTAGAAAATCTTTTTAAAAAAAAAAATGATAACTGCTTAGCTATTTGACGGATTTGGCCAGCCAACAAATATAAACTTCTACCAAACTAGCAACTCCAGATCAAAGAGCCTGAGGCCACCATTTTCCAGCAGCCACCAGAGGCAAGAGCAAACAGAAAACAAATTTCACTAACAAGCAATAATCAGCCGGTGGTGACGGGAAGTAGCTTGCCTAGAAATCAGTATCCAACTTTCACAAGCCGAATACCTGCACACATACACACAAGACCGGAAAAATTGTCATCAGCGCAGCTTCCGCATCCTGTGGACCGTCTCTTCGTCGTGGCGTTATTTCGTTATAAGGATTTTCCTGTGCTAATAAATTGAATTAATTCACCGCCTATTTGTGGTATGCAACAGTGTAGTGTGCACACCCAAGTTGCTAATAAGATCGCGTGACTTTCCGCGATACATCGCGGTGCCGTTGGAAAAGGAAGTGCCTCTACTCTACTGCACTGTGTAATTTGAACGCTTTTGCTTTGGCGAAATTGAATTGGCAAGAGCCCACATACTGTAGGCATCATGCGGCAATGCGAAATCTTTCATACTATTAGTATGAAAATTTTCGCATTATTTTATGGCGCATACTGTACAACACTGTTTGTGTGTGTGTGCGTGTGAAAAGGGCTAGTGTGCTGAGAGGGAGACACTTACCGCAAACAGGAAATTGAAGAAAAACACCAGGTATCGAACGCACGCTACTCCCACAGACGGCATTTTGGCGGTTGCTCGTTACCAGCAACTGTGTGGGTGCTTGAAGAACTGCGCTCTGGAAAGAGATGGAGATAAAGGAAAAGTTTTACTCGGGTTGCGATAAGCAGATAATTTGATACGATAAATTTGTTAACCTAAAGTTTATTCAATTTGAAGTCTTCTTCCGGGCTGAAAGTTTGCAACCACCGCCATGGCTTATGTATTATGACTCGTTATGGCTTTCTTTTCCTTTTGTTTTCGAAGTGATGTGTGTGTTCTCCGGGTAAAGGGGAATAGCCAAACGGCAGCAAAATAATATCACATTTTACCTTCAACATCTTAATATGTTATTGATAAGTTGTGCGCTATAACAAGTTAATAGCGTTTTCTGCTGTCAAAGCAAAATTTGCTATTGATATGATATTTTGATCCGATAGCAGAATAGATCAATTTAAACAACATACCAATAGCTTGGTGAGATATAGTAGCAAAATGTGATTTAAATTTGTTATGAGATCCGTCTTGTTCTGTTTTGCCGGGTATTCTCCTTAAGAGGTTTCCACTTTCCGCTGAGCTTTGTTGTTTTTGGGTAAACCTCTTATCACAACGATGCAAAATTTACCCTAAATGTAATTTAGCCCCAGAAAAGGGCCCGGGAGTACAAAGCATTTAACGATAATGATTGTTGGATTCGTACGGCTACGTGCACAACGTATCAATTTTCCAGACAGGGAGAATGGTTTATAAATATCTTGCTGGCAGCATAGACGGGTCATGAACGATTTGCTGTAGGTTAACTGACTGGAGCAGTGGCTCACGCCGCCCCGTTTAATGAGGTTAGAAGGAGTGTCATGTTTCAAAAAAGGTAGCACGGCCATTTGTTTCGGACGGGAAATGCCAAGAAGCCACATTACGTACATGCTTGAAAGCTGAAACAATACCATTTACGGTCACTCACAGTCACAAATAATCTGCATTTGACAGGTGGACCATACAATGACGAACGAGTTTGCATGTACAATCGCTGATTTCAATTTAACGAATAAACAAATAAAAGAACTAAAGTTTTGTTTCCTCAACTGGGAATAAGACAATCAATAAAACGAATACCAATATGCACTTATGATCCTTGTTAAGATATTTTAAGTTTAAACAGTTTATGCAAGTGCTATATTCCCGGGAACACTCTTTTCTTCTGGCCATTTAGCCTAATAGGCACAAAATCAAACAAAGAAAATCGATAAAAGGTATGGTTCGAAAAAGTTGAATCCATGTTAACTTTTTGTTCTGTCTATCCCCATGTAGAAATGGAAAACTACATGGAAAAGATATCTGCCCTCAGAATCACACCCAAGCAAACACATACATTCTTCGAAATAGGATTCATAAGGAGTTGTAAACTCCTGAAAGCAATCGGTATCAATCAGCAAACAATAATAGGTGGGTGGATTTGAATACCGATGCAATCAATATAGAAACGTTACATGTACCTGTAGCTAATCGGAACCACAACTTGTCGATACTGAATACTGAAGTAGGCACTTGAACACAACAGATGGTAGTAACTCTAACAAACGGAGGGAGCAAACTTTGCAACGAAGCGCAACCAACACGACTGATTTGTTGGGTTCAAATTTAAGTCATGGAAAGCTACTACCTCTCCTCCATCCCAGATGGATCCGGGTAGACGGGTATGATTTCTTAGTGCATGTGTGGTTTTCCGACATTTGATATGCAACTACTGATGGAGAATTATTTAACGTAATCCCAACTGATTGGTATTGGTGGTTTGTGTTCGTTTGTTAGTTTTTCCCTCGTTGGAATTTTGATAATTGAATCCTTCAATCATGCAAATGGAAGTTGAGCATTTACCGGAGCGCTGACAAAAAAAAAATAATTCGATGTTTTCCGATGAAATAGTCAACCGTCATCAACCTTGCTACATAGATATAATTTGCGAATATTACTATGGTCTCATATTAATTATATTTTCTATTGTCAAGGCATCCACAATTTTATTAACTAATGTCAAAAATTGTATCCACGATATTTGAGTAATTACACTTTCACAGATCTTGTTGAAAACAGTGAATGTTCGATTCAAACAATTCTAATATAGACTTAAACAATGAGTTTTGTCAATTGCTGTTACCCTTATATAGTACCTACTTTACTTATCTTAGTCAGTTTAAAGACTCAAAAAGTTACTACACCCTATCGGAGGCATACTCCGTATTCTGAGAAGCGATCGAAATTCATTACCTCTCAATTATCTTAATCTATTCTATTGAGCAATTTAAAATCTCATCCCCATTAGCAAACCTGTCAATTCTTCAGCTTTCAATTTGAACTTTTATTCTTGCCAGGGGAAGTTTTTGGACAAGTTTTCCAGTGAAACATCAATCCTTTCTATCTGACAAGTATACCACTCGAAAAATTGTTCCTAAGCAACGTTTCACCACTTGTATCGCCTTCGGCACCACCGTCATCATCATCATCACCATCAACTTTATACGATATAAGATTTCGTGCTTAACAGCCGTGTAATTTCACTTCATTTTTTCTTCCTCGCTGTGTGGTTGCTGAATTTTGAAATAAGCTGCGATACTGTAAGCTCAAGAAACGAACGTTTAACAGGTGGCCAATAACGATGTTACAGGAAACGATGGCTTCACATTTGGTGGAATCGTCACGTAGACGGATAAATAAGAAACTTCATTTCGATGGAGACACTTGGTGCTTGAAAAAAAAAAATGGTTTCCCTTCTTCAATGGTCGATATTCAATTCCATTCATGAACACAGTAAAAAACATGTGTCATTCAACTTTAAGCCTCTGCAGAAGGAGGACAAATCTGTTGACAAGAAAAAGCTTTCGTTTGCTGCCTTATTTAGCAAGCACGACAATAACGAGGGTGCCATCATGGAACACTCAAAAAGCTATCAAGCGTCTGTCAAGGATGATGGCCTGTCGGGACTGCATTCCTCTCGGAACAGAATCCCACTTTATCTCGTCCAGACTCGACCCCATTCCATATTACTAGCCACTGTGCCGTCGTGCGTTGAGCTTAGCCATATGTGACAATGTACATAGTACCCCGACCAGCTGCTAAGCTTCATGCTACCGAGCGGTGTCCCTATTGGATGATATCGTAGCACAACAAATTTGTCAAGGAGAGATTTTCGGAAACCTTTTGCGGGTGCAAAAACCCGCACCTTCATCTCATGATCTCTATAAGTCGTCTGCTGCACTGCAGGCGACCATGAGTTGTCAGCAACATTCGAATCAAATAACACCTTCGGCGGCAGCAGAGAGCAGCAATATATGCCTGAGGAATTTTGTCATTTCGGCGCTCTGTTGATATTGATAGACGAAAAGTGATCCATATGATAATCTTATTTCTCGCCTCAGGGGAGAGCTGCAGATCCGTGTCGGAAAAGTAAGTGATAGGTAAGAAAACCTAAACAGGAAGGATGGGATCGATGTTTTGACGAACTGTGGATATGATGAACAGTCGATATGGTTCAATCAGACCAAAGCGATGAGATGAATATATTATAAGTCTGCTGTATTTCTTATAGATTGCATATGGCGAATGGTATTACATTTTATTCTCATTCGATGCACCAAACATTGGATAAGATGCTTGGTTTTGAGTGATCTAAAAAAATAAATCCAGAACAATTAAAAAAAAAACAAACAATCACATTCAAAACACTACAGAAAATCTCCTTAATAAAGATAATCAATCAACCAACTACAAAAAACAACTTTTTGCAGACACTCACGTGAATTTCACTGGTCCCTTGATGCTTGAAGAAACCCGAATTTAATTACAGTGCCTTCCTGTTTTTGCCATCAAGTATCTTCTTTGCTATCTATAACATCAATTCACCTTATTTCATGTATTATTTTACAATTGATCATTCTAGAGCTGCTTAGTATTTCACATAAAGCAGTCTAGGAAGCACTAGCACAAAATTGAGGAAATAAACAGCTGACAAGGTCGTGTTGCCAACAACTGGAAGGCCTTGTATTCTAAAACGTCCCCTCATTTTGTATGTTACAAAATAGCAGTGTCTTTAGTGACGAAAATAACAAAAATAGTGACCAAATACTGGCTTAAAAAAAGGAGTGACATTTATTGATTGAAAATACACTCCCGATCATAAGTTTAATGACACCCCCAAAAAAAACATGAAAAATTTGTTATGTTCATATCTCTGTCATGTTACGTCGAATTTTCGTTCTCTTTAGATCATTTGAAATGTATTGAATGGAACTTTCCTCGTAGGCAAATTGTTTAATATATTTTTCAAATTGTGTGTGCTAAAAGTTCACCCAAAGTTACAACATTTTTCAAAATTTACTCTGAAGAATCGTGACTGATTTTCTAAGAATTGGGTTGGCCAAATTTTGAAATAAAAGTAGTAGTAGAACACTTGACAAACGTCAGAGAAGTCTATTCTACGCGCCACAAACACCAATGTTGCCTGCTGAACAGTTGATTGAGCATAATCATAAGACATCAGTGACAAAGTTGTAGCTGAGAAAATATCCAACAAGCACAGCTATCATTTTTTTAAGCAGAGTAAACAGGAGAATTTTGATATAGATATAAATATCGAAATATGTTGAGGTGCAGTTTCGAACGCCTTTGTTCTCTGTTTTGTGCGTGCGTTCGCGTTCATAGTTTTCGGCTGCATTTGCCGGATTAGCGCTGGCGCTCTGCCTCCCGGACGTTTATACGTGTGTGATTGGTAGTTTTCTCGCTTTCCGGGAAGTTTAAGAATAGAGAAAGAAAACGTGATTCAACATGTTTGCAAGCATCAGAAGAGGTGTCGCAATATGTGTTATTTGATTTTCTCCCGGGCCAGAAATTAGTGGCATCGCGAGTGATAATTTTTAATTTCAGTTTATTTACGCGCTGCAAGGTGCCTGAAAGAGTTCGGCAAAATCGGTGTTGACTCGGGTGTTAATGTTGGCTCGACTGCAACTTTTTTTTGTGTTTTCGAAAGAAATTGATCGAAGTGTACCAAAAGTGCTTCTGAACGTGTTTCGCAGTTGGGAGTGGTGA